GTGTACAGTCTATACATCCTTAAGACTTCTGAGCGGGGGTGTACTGTATTCGCAAGATTCCGAAAAAACTTTCTATTTATAGAACAGTAGAAGCCAATCGATCGCATTCCGTTCGGTCGAGGTATCGAGAATTTCAAAACTGTTTCTCGCTACAATTCCAAACCGTTGAAGGATTTGTCACCGTGACTCGAGGAAACTTGGATATAAATTATTGAAGAAAGGATCGATGGATAGAAAAATAAAAGAAGCCCCTTAACAGACGTTTAATATTGTGCGTGACGGTTCATCGTTAGTGTTTCCCACCGAAATGATTGCTAGGAATTTCAGTCACGCGGATAACATTCCGCTCGACGGTGTTCGCTAAATTCTGTCTGGTCGTGGCAGAAATAAATAACTTCGTTGGATTTGTTCGTTTAGTACAATATAAAATAGGAGCTAATTAGCCGTGTTAATTATAAACCGTGGAGCGCATCAGGCGTTCTTTGTGAAATTTTGCGTAGAAATTGAGAATTCCGTTTAAACCTTTGTCCTCCGTAAATTGAAAACCGACAAACAGAGAGAGAATGATAGAGGGACAGAGAGACAAAGGTTCTCGCGAGGCGTTCTACGATGTATGTACATGCAATACATGCGTTGTAAAAATTCAGCAAATTCAATCTATTAGCCGTTTGACAACCTGCCATTTATTATCCTCTGCTCGAACAACTAACTGATAACTGATAACGTTTTTCACCGAACAGAACGTCGACCAGTTTACAGGATAAAAGGTGTAAAGATATAGGAGCTAGCTCCATGGTTGTTTGATGAAGAGCTGGAGTGGATAATTGATAATAACCAATCGACAGGTTCCGATATTTATGGAGCACTCTTTGCGAGCTGCACGCACTTCCTTCCTGTACTTTTAACACTTACCGTATCACTTGTTACCGTGACACATTGATCTATATCGGTTATTTGTTGCAAACAATTGAAACCTGTTTAATTCGACGATTTCCATGTGCAAACATTTCGTATTTCTAAAGCAGATCACGAAATTTACCCATAATAAATGTAAAATGTATTGCATAACGAAATGAATCGAACAGACGCGTATAATAAATCCGAATGAATTTTCTATCGAGATCAATTAGTCCGCGGGCCATCGTTATTGAGTGAACCGCAAATATTTCAATAACCATTCGGCTGGTATTTTAGTACAAGCATTCAACAAATTCGAAAGGCATTATTATCCATCATATCGAGCGATGCAAATGAAAAGACCACGATTTCGTCCACTTGCAATCTTATTCGAATCCCATTATGTATCTTAAATCTGTCGTTACATCACATTTGCATTTAGATCGTTCGAACGTCATGTGAACATCGATCAGATTTTCATGAGTCACGTTCGATTTCACCGAATCTATCAAGGAACAATCGCTTTTATCACCGACACGTCGCTTCTTTTATTCCCGTACGTATTTTAAAAGGTACGGCCATGACAAGAACGTGGCTGCGCACCGGTGTATCGTTAATAAGGACACACTAGTACCTGCAGTAGTGCGCCAGCCAGAGAAGAACTGAATACCTCGTGCTCCCTGCACTCTGCGCTCTAGTGCACTCGAGAGGAGGCCAAGAGCCCTGAAAGGTATCACTGCTAATTTCTTTTAAACAGAAACACGTCCTCGGTGTTCGCCGAGACTCTCTCCCTTTCTCCCTCGGTCTCTCTCCACCTTTCTCAGATGTTGATAACGTTTTACGCTGGAACACCTAGCTACCTATTTCGGTCTGGGTCTCGGTCTCGGTCTCGACTTAAGTCTACCTCTGGTTGCCGCGTCGTCTACGTTTCATTCCCCAACCCGATTTCCTACAACGTTGGATCATCCCATAACTTCTTTTACAAAACGTCTTTAAACTCTACAGGCGATTTAGAAAAATACTGCCGGCTGAAATAAACTCTACCTAAATCTTGTTCTATTCAGAACGAACGGTGAGCAGCATTGGATTTAAAATAAAGAATGCAATAAATCTGGTGAAACAAGCAATTCGTTGATTCATTTGATTCTCTTTTCGTTTTGTCGCGGCGGAAAGTTTATGGTTGGTATCAGGTGAAAGTAGTATTAATAGTTGAAGAACTCACCTCAAGTTTCACTATTGCCTTTTATCTTCATCATTGAGGAGGCGACCGTCTCCGCGAAGTAACTCTTCTCCGTTTGCGACGTTCTCTTTCTAGGAGCCTTCTTTAACGAACATTCTCCCGACGTTTGCAAGTGCATATTACTTAGATACCGACGCGTCTATCTTCTATCACATCTCAATCGTCACTATCCGATCACAAGAATCTCGTGTCTCACTTGACCGTCAAACCTAGTTCCGGGATTTCTTCTTCATCTTCTTCTTCTCACTCACGCCCTTTATTCGGTTATTAACAACGCGAACGTGTTAAATATTATAAGCCACCGAGTTACAAACCAGCCGAGTCGTTCGCGGACAATACATAATTCCGCACAGTTGCATTTACATGAGCACGTGAATTTCTGTCGACGCAAACAACGTGTCCGAACAAATTTTAACGTCGCGCGGGCACGCGGAATAATTAAAAATAATTGGTAAGCTTGATATTACGCCGCATTGGTTACGCGCCGCCGGTGAAGCTAGAAAAACTACTCGGCGCGGAGAGATTAAACGAAAATTATTCAGAGCTTTCAAAAGCAAGTAATTTCCGAGTAAGGAGGACGCGCTAACGAATAGAAATTGTCGCGGCCTTTTACCATTAACCGACCAGATGCTGACTCCGATTCAAAAGAATCTTCGCGATTCTACTTGGCGATATTAAAAAATATTTGCCGCTGCGATCAAAAAGAGGAGGCCGACTATTGAAACCGGCGAATTGACTTTCATCGAACCTGCGTCTCGCTACCCGTTTTATATTATAAATTTAGAAACACTTCAATATGTTCGTGAGGACAAAAAGACGCGTGCACGCACACGACGCGAGCACGCACGTGCACAAAGAGCACTTGGATTAAATTACTACCGCAAACTGAGATAAAAAAGGGGTCTGTTCTCAATTAGAACCCTCGTAGCGTTTGGTAATTTCAACAATTCAATTTTATCGCACACTCGCCTGGCTTTCTTCCCTCGACACCGTTGCTACTAGGTACTAATTAAAAATTAAACGAAAAAAGACACGCACAAATCATGTTTAATTATTTAACGTCGGAGGGTTTGCACAGCTAACAGGTACACGTTGCAAATCTCTAATTCAGTATCCGATTAAATGATTAACAAAGTAACCAATTAATTGATAGCACGGTCGTTCAAATATAAAATGTTCATTGCGCGTTGCTCGTTTATTTCGACTGATACGGTACAGCGAATTGATTAACAATTTCATATATTGATAAGCTACATTCTTTCGCGAAATAGGTCGCGCGAAGTGTTACAAGCCTCGGTAACGATTCGGCATACCGACCAAATTCTTCTTTAGTACTCGCAGACTCGAGCCACGTACCGTTTCAAATTAGACTTGAATTCTTCTACTTCCCTTAGAATAGTTTTCCCTTAATAACATTTAATTTCCAGTAAATTGTTACATCGGTCCTAGTCATTAATTTTATTGTCTACCATTTAAAATTTCAGATATTAGACTGACGTTCAAAAAGACCAGGGAATTCCATGCGAATTACTCTATCCTGTTTTATGACGATAGTGCATACTTGCGGATATTGAAATACAGAATTTAGCACAATACTCTGGATGATTTAAAATGCTATCAAGCACGAACGCTTACGGAACAATTTTCTTTCAAACTACCATTAGGGCAACAACTACCCGTGTCTTTCGGTGTACAACTACGTGTATATGGAAGTCGTAAATTTCATTCCTCTGAACGTGCACGCTCGCTACAATCCGTATTGCGTTCCATACGAACGTTCGCATAAATATCACCCGTTTGCACATGAAATAACCGATTTTATGTGGCTCAGAGTTCTTCGCCCCGTGAATAATTACGAGATATAGAACGACATTTTACATTTTAATTCCTGGATCTAAATTAATTGATGGACTGCCAATTATTTCAGAATTGATCAAAGCGCGATGAATGTGCATTTTGCTGCGAGAAAAGGTTGAAAGAGTTTAATCCTCTTTTCCTTTAAAATATTCGTCGCGACTAAAAAAGCTCGCGGGGAATGAATATGTAGGAGAAACAGGAATGAGAAGAAAAAAAAAGGATAACGGTGGCATGCCAATATTTCAGAAACGCTTCTAGTTTGTTACAAGGGTGTTCGATAATCAATAACTCGAAAAAATCGCGAGCGTGTGTCATATGGTGGCATCATGAATCATACGTTCTCCGACCTTCGGTGCAATCTCAATTTTCGCGGTTACATATTCCTAAAAACACCCTGTCCCATATGTAAATGCATACATATATACGGTAGATTTTATATCCTTATGTGCTTCCTCTCTGTGTTTCTGTGTACGATGCACGCGTATTTCCATTGCAACACGTTAAAATCAATTAAAAATCAATTTTTTAATCACCTACGTACACTCTTAATTTTATTATTGAACATTTCACCGAGTTAAACCCGTCCATTTTCATAATTAAGTTTTGTTATTCCTTCTTATTTGTCTGACTATCAAATTAGTGTAACGAGCAAGCGTAAGTCGCGTAAATTATTATCGAGAAGATTAGTACCCCGCGTTACTCTCGACCCTTTTAAGGAAAACCTGCGAGCTTCTATCAAGTATTCCGCGGTTCAACAACAATTTTCCATTTATGATAATACGTCCGGCTGGTGCACACGCATAAGTACATACGCCGCGCATATGTGCAGCGTCAGTTTTACAGCCATACGTACCTTCGGACACGTTTGCATAGACGGCTCATTCGCGTTGTACAGCCACGAATGAAATCACGCGCGAGAATATTTGTCGAGGGGAAATAAAACAAGCGGGTGACATGGAAAATGATGGGAAGGAAAACAAGCACGTTCAAAAACGACGTTCACGGCAGAAGCTCGCGCGGCCTACTACTGAAACGTCAGAAGGCATGCGTTGCCCTGACGGCTCGCTTGCCTCCCCCATGCCCCGCCGTTTCGATCCCCCCACTGAGGGTAACTCACCCCCACTGGGGTTGTCGGCGGAGACGTATGTTTGAAAGACTAAAAATAGGATTGAGTGAACTGATTTTGTAGGGAAGGAAATCATTATAAAATGATAAAATTATAACAGCGGCAAGGATACTTCGTTACGTGCTTCTGATAAAACATACGAACTCCTGTACTGTCAAGCTATTTTAACGTGATGATTGACACAATTCTCCAACGCTGCGTTTGTTTTGGGGAGAGACGACGTCCATTACTTCTTTTTCTTTATTTCTTCTTTAAGATAAATGCGACGATTGAATTGTAAATATTAACTCCAGAGAGTTTAATCTGTTTTAAATGAATGAGTACAATTTAATATTATAATTACAATCAGCATTATTTTGCTAGATTAAAAGGGGAATTATTAATTGTCTTGTACTCGTATGCAACAGAGCGCCAAATTAATATACGTATTACAAAACAGGATTAATTGAATAATGTAAAATTAAGAAAGCAAAGTGTATTTTATTTATGATAAGACATCATTATTTTGCTAGATTAAAAGGGGAATTATTAATTGTCTTGTACTCGTATGCAACAGAGCGCCAAATTAATATACGTATTACAAAACAGGATTAATTGAATAATGTAAAATTAAGAAAGCAAAGTGTATTTTATTTATGATAAGACACTGTCTTGAAATTCTATTAAATGCATCATATGTTTCTTAACGTGCAAGTCGCATAGCTAAATAAAATATGGTGCAACTTCACGAGTTGAAAATAATTTTGAAAACTATTACTCCTTATTGAGCTCTATACCTAATTGAAGTACAAACTTCGGAAGTGCACCCGGAACGACAGAAAGGGTCAATCAATGAGTGCAGTATTGCTGTCGCGGTCTTCCCATAATGTACAGTGCATGCCATGGAATTCATATGGAACTCATCCGTGTCCGTGCGCAAGAATATTCGTTGCGCAGTGCGCAATGGTATAATACGTTGTACATGCCCTCTACATGCAAACTTACTATAGTATAGTATATAATTTAGTAAGAGAGGGATAGTAGGAAGGAAAAGGACGCATTCACTGCACACTGCACAGCATTCTCTCTCACTCAGACCTCTCTCGCCACTACTTCTTCTTACAGAAGTTCGCGCTTCAGTTAGGTGACACAATCTCGTGTCTGTGTTCTGTTGGTATTCTATGAAACTGTGCAAATCGGCAAGATGCTACTATTGTAATTTATTGAATTACTTGTGATTACGCGAGTTAAAATAATGAGCGAGGCACAGGAAGGTGAAAGTGACAAAATGAAATCAAACGTGATTTTGGAGACTCAGGAAGTTGATGAATCTGATATTGAAAAGTTAAAAGGAGATACTGTAGGGGATACACTTTATAGTGGCAAGTGGATAGTTAATATTTTACTTTCTATATCTAAGGTAACAATTACATCTCAAAGTAAATTCAGTTTATTTCAAATGTATATTCATATTTAATCTAAAGGTACATGAAGAAGGATGGAATGAGAAACTGGAATATGATTTATGCACTCTGTGGGACATGACCACAGAGATAGACATTATCAAGTTTCTATTTGACAATGATTACTTTAAGATTGCAGAATATGTTCTGAATTCCTCTGATGAGCCAAGGTTTATAGTAAGATTTTACCTTTTGATTCTGTATTTTATTTATTCAATAATAGCTTTATAAAACATTCCGTTCCTGTATTCTATAATTCCTAGACTGTAGGAATTCGCAACTTACCCTGCTATCCTTCAATTGTCCTTCCATGTGCTGAATGTTAATTGAAGATCTTCATTATAAAATCTGTAATATACCTTCATGCAATTTACAGGAAATAATTTTGGGAATAACTGGAAATATGACTTGTGATCCATTGATACTTGATGCGTTGGCAGAGAATGAGAAGTTTGTTGAACTGATTCTTCGATACTTATCGTTCGAAGACTCTGCTACATTAGTTCAAGTACTTAGACTTTTACGTTCTGCTCTTTGGAGTATCCAAACTAATCCCGAATCGAAATGGAGAGACCATTTGAGAAATTCAACTATTTTGAGGGAAATAATCCCCTTCATTTTAAAAAGTTCGACAAATGGTAAGTACATATAATTAGAACGATAATATGAAGAATGAGTAAAGTTTCTAATTTACATAATAAATTGCTGCAGAGGAACTTTTAATTACAACAACAAGTTTTCTGCGGACCGCAGCAGACATTGATCTCCCAACCGGAGAGACATTGTTAAACGAATTGTTTCTCTCCTCTCAATCATCTAGTTTTCTGTCAGGTATTAAATTTATTCAACAAAGATTATTTAAACATCTCTTACAAATTTTATACGTAATTTCAAATTTATAGAAATGCTAGAATCGTTTCAAGAAGTTCTTCCACAAGACGAAAATCATTATTCGCCTTCGACTTTGAAATACTTTGAAGATTGGCTCGAAGTATTCTCGAATCTCCCGAAAGATCAACTTTACCTAGAAATTTTACAAGATGATAATTTGGCGAGGACGGTAGAAATTCCGCGACGAATTTTAACGAATTTCGTTGACCCATGTAATATTCATCCACTTGATGGAACCAAAGCTTCTTGCATCTATAGATGCGCAGAAATGATTCTCGATTTCCGGTTGTCAAAACTCCTGACGGCGGTATCTACAGTTGACATTAATTCGACAATTTTGAAAATTATAGACAATATCGACACAGGTGAATATCGTCTAGAAGTGAATTTGTCTTTTACTAAGAACAAGAATTCTATTTATTTGAATATTTCCAGCAATGAAAGAAGAAGAAGAGGATCCCGAAGAAGCGATGGACGAATTATTAAAGTATCTTGAAGGGTATTGGGTTAAAGTATCAAGCATTTCCTCGACAGACGAGATTTTAAATATTCTGAAAACGAACGAAAAAGTTGTCATCGATCATACAATAAGTTTATTAAAATCAAAAATCCCCGAAGAAAAAATCGACCGGATAAGAGCTGGATTGTCGAACGAGTAGAGGTCTCGAACAAGAAGCAATAGAAAAAGGTAATTAAATTAATTTTTTATATTTAATAAGATGGGCAAAGATAAATTTAAAAAAAAAATT